GGGGGGGGGGGGTAGCAGCAGGAGGAGCTCTTGAAGGTGAGACCCTGAGCAGGCTGCTTTTGGAGGAGGAGAGGATGGAAAAACCTCAGAAAATCTCCAGAGAGCTAGAGGACGGCCACATCCAACAACTGTGGGTTTATTCCGCGGCCTTTCCTACCAGCAGGGGCGTCTGAGCCTTTATTTTTGTAGAGCCCTTTGTCTCCAGTGCAGGTTTTCGGCGGGTCTAACGTACTGGGCTGCAGAGTAGACTTGCGGGCTCTGGGACCAGGGCACAGATGGCACAGACCTGAGGTGTCGCCCGGGGATGGCCAGACCCAGAGGCCCCCAGGTGGAGCCCCACATGCTCCCCTAGCAGGGATGGGGAGCCAGGGCCGGCCGGCAGGGTGCAGCTTCCCGAAGCGCCTCCCGGGACCCCTGCCCTCCCCAGCGTGGCGCCTCCTCCCGCCCGCCAGGAGGGCCTGATTCAGGGGCCGCCTCCCTTCCCCCAGTTCTGTTTGTGAGCTGCGGGGGAAAGTTTCTGATAACCAGCGGTGGGCTTTAGCCGATTCAGGGTAAGAATGAGAAGCCTGTTAACAAGGATTTTAAGGGGCTCCAACCTCAAACCTGTTGTCAGTTTGGGTTCCAGAAAGAGGACTTCTTGGTAGAAACTTTTTAAAAAATTGATATGTAATTGGCATATGAGATAGAAACTTTCTTATACAAAATGTAAAGGACTTTCAAGAAAGAGACACACGGGGGGAGGGGAAGCAGGAGCTCACCCGCCCGCATGTGCACAGCTGAGGCCCTTCTCCTTGGAGCACTGGCTCCAAGTGGTTCTGATCCCTCCCTCCCACCAGGCCCCTTACCCACAAAGGATCATCTAAAACTTCTGCTGATTCTGCCAAATAGAAACGTTTAGTGGTGAAGCATTAAATCCCACCTTCTCTGCAACACCCAGCCCTCCAGCATCTCGCTTTCCTCTGAATCCCTGCGGCATTCAGTTGTACCACCCCACGCGGCCCTCAGTTTTCTGCTCTTTTATTATTTTCTCTTCCATGTGCTTTATTTCATTTTATCCTCCCAACTAGTGCAAGGGCTTAGAGACTGCCTTCTGTTCGGTACACAGTGGGTGGTCAGCTTGTGTTGACGGACTGACCTTTCTCCAGAGTAGGCCACCTAACAGTAATTGTCTTGGTCATTCCCGAGCTCCAAGGAGCTTAGGGTGCCCTTTGAAACAGACAAGAGCTCCAAAACAGGCACACTGACCCTTCCTGCTAGAACCAGCTCCAGGGGCAGTGGTTTGCATTGCTTCCTGCAAACTCCGAGTGGCTCAGTCCCTGGGTCGCGTAGGCTAAGAGTTGGCAGCCCTGTGGTACTTGTCCCTTCCTTCCTCTTGCCTCTCAGGTCCGAGTCTCAGGGAGCCAGCCAGGGGCTACAGCAGACCTGGCCCTGGGTTTACTGGGAGACACCACAGCAGCCTCTGTGCTTGCCCTGGAGACCCGAAGAGACTGGAATAATGATGGAGCTCAGCCGGAGGTGGGAGGGTGGAAACGCGCAGAACCCAGAAAAATTGAG